AGCTTAAATACTGGTGATAACAGGTGAGTGGAATGAGCTTGATTGTGATTTCTGTGACGGGAGGGGTGAAGCAATGAGTGAAGAACTTGGCTGTGAGAAACTATGACGTGAAGTGAAGGCAGGACAGACGTGGTTCATGACAGAATGTAAGTGTGGAGAAGCCAAATAAATGTAATATTGGCCTGCCATACAGTGAGCCTGTTGAACTGAGCCTCTGCTGCTCTTAGAGCACGAGCCAACATTATCAAGATGGATTTATGACTGAACGAATGTCCACATCTTTTTTATCATCTCTGTGGGTAAAAATACATCAAAAACAAGTTTTTCTCCGACAACTTGTGTGTAAAAAACTACGGTTGTTAAAGCTTCGCTCTGCTCGACGTGCAGCGAGAGGGAGGGGGAAATAATCCTGCGACATGACGGCAACATGTAACGGGGAGGGGAAATTTTGAGGATTTATTCTTCCTATAAAGAATAACACATCCAGAGGACCTACTTGTTTTTTTTTTTCTTTTTGAAAAACAAAGTTACAGTCACTACATATAATTAACGTGAAGTTAATATGTGTAACATAACCTGGTCAATAAACCCATCAAATGAAAACAGCTGACATCAAATCATGGCCAGCAGCCCAGCCCGGATAGAACCACACAGACAGAACTCATCTGTATTTCACCCCTCTTAGTGATATTTTATTATGTTTATAGTTTGTTTTTGAGTAAAAGTTTGGCTTAAAACCTTACCTTGTGTTTAAGTGATACTTTTACATTTCTCTGTTCAAAGTAGATTAAAGGTTTTATATAGCTATCTCCCTCCCTTTTTTTATCAACTAGCAAACTAATATATTCCTGTTTTGTTATATTTTGTTAACATGTCCAAATTTAATAATTTGTGAGAAATCCACAATTTTCTGTTTATTCAGTCAGTGCTTAATACAGCTGGCACACTAAATTTTATAAAATRTATTACTGTACTTTTTTAATTTAGTGTTTAAAAAATTAGACCATGTCATAGAAAGACCCTCGGTTCAAGAGAAATGTCAGGTTTTTAGGAAAATGGTTGCTTATCAATTAATCGTTAGTCGATCGATAAGGCAAATCAACTTTAGATTAATTCATTAATCAATAATTGCATCCCTATATATATATATATATATATATAAATTCCCTTCTCACCCTCCGCGGGTGGTCTCTTTCATCCTCTGAGCTCGGGTCCTCTACCAGAGGCCTGGGAGCTTGAGGGTTCTGCGCAGCATCTTGGCTGTGCCTAGAACTGCACATTTCTGGACTGAGATGTCAGTCTATATATATA